GGGTCAGTCTTCTAACTCACAAATTCTTTGTTTAACCCACTGAGTCATACTGTCTTTTAGAATTAAGTGAAAGGATCCTAGAACTCCAGAATCTGTGGATGTAATTGGTGTTCCAAGAAGTCAAAGTTCTTTTTTTATAATCTGTAATACCCAGAATATATGAAGGGAAAAGTCTTATGATTTTGATAATTCAAAGCAATGGATCTAACATCTGACTCTCCTACTCAATTTACTCCAATAACTATCCTATTGCCTCTAAGATCAAATGTAGCTTCTTTTTAACTTCTAAAGCTCTTAACAACCTAGCCTTAATTTACCTTTCAACTCTTATTATGTATTACTTCCCTTAGTGTACTCTACAATCTATCCATGGTGGTCTTGTTGTTCATCTCATGTAACACTCCATATCCCATTTCACTTCCTTTGCACTGGCTATTCCTGATTCCTGAAATGTACTTCCTCATCATCTCCATCAGTCTTACTGAATTCCTTGCTTCCTTAAAAATTTGCTCATTATACTTTCTTTAGATCCCTTTTCTAATGTCTCCACTACTGGTGCCTTTTCTTCCTCAATTGACCTTATGTTTATTTTGAATAGTCTAATTTGTGTACATGTTATCTCCCTTGTTTGAATGTAAGCTCCTTGAGGACAGGGACTGCATCATTTTTACCTTTGTATACCCAGCACTTAACAAAATGCTTACTGACTGATCAGTTGAATGCAATCATACTGATGGTGTATGTACTGCTTCTAATTGTATCACAGGCATTTTAAAATGGAAAAGTTCAAAATTAAATAAAGTTAGGTGATTAACATTCTATAAATGCAGAATTCTATTTATATTATGTCAGCTAATACCAAGAGGTACTTATTTGTCTCTTAAAAACTAAGAGCATGGGGGTGCAGAGCCAACACGGTGGAGTGAAAGCAGTGACTTGCTTATTAAGCTCTCCCCCAAACCCCTCCAAATACTCATAAAAAATGTCTCTAACCAAATTCTGAAGCAGCAGAACCCACAAAAAGACAGAGTGAAACAAATTTCCAGCCCAAGACAACCTGGATGATTAATCAGAAAGGTACATCTCTGCCGGGCTGGAAGCTCAGCACAGCGCAGCGCACCATGGGAGCGCAGGATACAGCAAACCTGGAGCAGGCCTCAGAGGACTGAATCACAGGCAGCTGTGGAGGTTTCCAGACTCCTCAACCCACTAATGCCAAAGACAACTTAGAAGGTCGGTGGGAAAAGTCTGTTTCTGTTGGTGCTGAGAAAGGAAGGCGGGGTTTCAGCTTCATTCCCCAAGAGCATGGTTGGGGGGGGGGCAGCTGCTTCCCAAACTTCCGGACCACAGACTGAGGGGGAATCCAGTGGCTGATCAGAGAGGGATTGCAGGGATCTCTTTGCCAGTTCTGAAGCAGGAATCTCTTGCTTTGCCTGTGTTTGGATCTGGGTCACAGTTCTGGGTGGCGGTGCTGGGGTGAGGAGGAACACTGGCATGGTGGAGCTTGTAGTGGCTGTGGAGAGGAACCCCTCCTCACAGTTACAGGACAGAAAGGAATACTTGTGGTCACAGGCCAGGAAAGGAGTAAACACCTCACCCCTTATCATACCACCTTGGAAGAACTGAAAATTTACAGGTCCCTACAAGTATCTCTGAAAACAGCTACACAAACCCCTGAAGCTCGGGGCAGTACATTCTCCACATTGGAAGCAGACTCTTACCTTAACAAAGAGTTTAAAACTCAAGTAATTGGCCGGGATCATGAGCAAGCAGCGCAAAAAGAATCAGACTATATTATCTTTGATGACAAAGATCAAAATATACAACCAGAAGAAGACAACAAAGTCAAAGCTCCTACATCCAAAGCCTCCAAGAAAAATATGAATCAGTCCCAGGCCTTGGAAGAGCTCAAAAGGGATTTTGAGAAGCAAGTAAGGGAAGTAGAGGAAAAACTGGAAAGAGAAATGAGAGTGATGCAAGAAAATCATGAAAAACAAGTCAACAGCTTGCTAAAGGAGACCCAAAAAATTACTGAAGAAATAACACCTTAAAAAATAGCCTAACCCAAATGGCAAAAGAGGTCCAAAAAGCCAATGAGGAGAAAAATGCCCTAAAAAGAAAAATTGGCCAAATGGAAAAGGAAGTCCAAAAGATTACTGAAGAAAATACTTCCTTAAAAATTAGAATAGAGCAATTGGAAGCTAGTGACTTTATGAGAAATCAAGACACTGTAAAACAAATCCAAAAGAATGAAAAATTAGAAAACAATGTGAAATATCTCATTGGAAAAACAACTGACCTGGAAAATAGATCCAGGAGAGAGAATTTAAAAATTATTGGACTATCTGAAAGCCATGATCAAAAAAAGAGCCTAGACATCATCTTTCAAGAAATTATCAAGGAAAACTGCCCTGATATATTAGAACCAGAGGGCAAAATAGAAATTGAAAGAATCACAGATCTCCTCCTGAAAGAGATCCCCAAAGGAAAACTCCTAGGAATATAATAGCCAAATTCCAGAGTTCCCAGGTCAAGGAGAAAATATTACAAGCTGCCAGAAGGAAACAATTCAAGTACTGTGGAAACACAATCAGGATAACACAAGATTTAGCAGCTTCTACATTAAAGGACTGCAGGGCATGGAATATAATATTCCAGAGGGCAAAGGAGATAGGATTACAACCAAGAATCACCTACCCAGCAAAACTGAGTATAATCCTTCAGGGGAAAAAATGGTCATTCAGTGAAATAGAGGACTTTCAAGCATTCCTGATGAAAAGACCAGAGCTGAATAGAAAATTTGACTTTCAAATACAGGACTCAAGTGGAACATGAAGAGGTAAACAGGAAAGAGAAATCATAAGAGACTTATTAAGATTGAACTGTTTACATTCCTGCATGGAAAGATGATATTTATAACTCATGAGACCTTTGTCAGTATTAGGGTAGTTGGAGGAAAAAAATATATATATATATATATATATAGATAGATAGATATATATATATAGATAGTAGATAGATAGATAGATAGAGGGCACAGGGTGAGTTGAAGATTAAGGGGTCATATCTGGAGAATAAAATTAAGGGATGAGGAGGATTATACTCGGAGAAGAAGAAAGGGAGAGGTAGAATGGGGTAAATTATCTCACAAAAAAAAACAGAAAAGTCTCTTACAGTGGAGGGAAGCAGGGGAAGGTGAGAGGGAATGAGTAAATCTTATTCTCATAGGATTTGGCTTAAGGAGGGAATAACATACACATTCAATTGGGTATGGAAGTTTGTCTTACCCTACAAGAAAATAGGGGGAGAAGGGGACAAGACAGCAGGGGGATGATAGAGAGGAGGGCAGATAGGAAAAGGGTGTAATCAGAAGTAAATACTTCTGAGGAGGAACAGGGTCAAAAGAAAAAATAGAATAAATGGGAGGGCAGAATAGGATTAAGGGAAATAGAGTTAGTTTTTCACAACATGTCTGCTATGGAAGTGTTCTGCATAACTGCACATGTACAACCTATATTGACTTGCTTGCCTTTTCAATGAGGGTGGGTGGGGAGGGAGGAAGAGAGAAAACTTGAAACCTAAAGTTTTAAAACATATATTTAAAAAAAATGTTTTCACACACTACTGGGAAATAAGAAATACAGGAGATGGGGTATAGAAGTCTATCCTGCCCTACAGGAAAATAGAAGGGGAAGGGGATAAGAGAAGGGGGGAGAGAAAGAAAAGAGGACAGACTAAGGGAAGAGATATTCAGAATGCATGCCATCTTGGGGTGGGGGAGGGGTGAGATGGGGTGAAAATTTGGAACTCAAAAACTTGTGGAAGTGAATGTTGAAAACTACAAATAAAGAAATTTATATTTAAAAAAAAGGAAGTGCATGGTCATTAAAAAGTAGCTGGTATATGTCTAGATGTCTTTGTGTGCCAAGATAGGCTAGTTTTCATAATTAGGCTGCAATACTGAATCTTCTATATGCTAGAGTCCTGAATTAGGAAATGGTCAATTATATTTCTTAATTGTACAGTTGGTCTCAGAGATAGAATGTTCTGGCTTCAAGTTCAGTCTCTGACACAAATGTGTGATATTGAGCAAGCCACTCTGTCCCTTCAGTGACCCAGTCAAACTCTTTATGGTTCTGTGTCACAGAACAGTTACTTCATTGGCAAAGGTGCTCCCAACACCAAAGAAGTCACAACCCCCCTACTCCCACACATAGGTTTGTCATCGTATTTATAACATCTTTGTATTATAACATAATATGATTTGATATGATGGTATATCATATATATGTATATTTTGTGAGAGCATCACTTAGAGCATATGCCCCATTTATTTTTTTTTAAAACACAATATGGATGAACTTCCTTATTCTCCAGTTCACTTTTGGTTCTATAATTGCTATTACATAGGACCCACATGTCATAGACTCTACATGACAACTTCATATAAATACATTCTAAATTTCTTAACTTTCTAATTTAATAGTGCATTTGAAATTTAATACTATTTGAAGAAAAACAAGTGGTTGTGAAATTTTATTTTCTTAAAAACTTTGTAAAATATGTAATACTTTTTATAAGTAATTTTAACTCAATCTTTCAAAAACACATTTTAAAAGTTATTAAAACTCTTTTACTAATTAATGAGGTAAAACATACAATATCCTTACAGGAAGATGTTCATTGCTATTAATATCCACTTTTCTTATTCTCATATACAACATTATGGTAATTTTCTTTCAAGTAGCACTAGCGACAAATTCCTAATGTTGATCTGCAAATTTCCCTATGTCTAATGTTGAGTTCCTCTCACTACTATTTGAATGATTATGCCCTTTCTATTATGTTAAATACTTCCTATTTATAAAAGTTGAAAAAGAACCTGATAGTGGGTCACCTGATAGATTTTTGTTTGCAGACCAAATTTTGTTTTTTTATTTTTAAAGTTCTTAGTTTCCCCCATAGTTCCTCAGTTCAGCATTTGCCTCTATGGACTGTACCTGGAATTCTGAGGCTCTGAAACATCTGTTTCTGTGCACGTTTTCTTTACCTGCGAGGAGAAAGGGATTGCTAGTTATTCTCATATGAAAATACAACTTCCTCACTCTCAGTTCACACACATACAATGCTTAAAGTGGATACAGCTCGACTCACCCTGATCTCTATAAAATACTTCCCGCATTTTACAGCAGCAGTATGCAGTACCAAACAGTGTGTTTCATTATTATCCCATGAACAGCTGCCAACTGCACTTCCCTAGACTCCATTAGTATGTAAAATGTTGAGCTAAAATAGCTTGGGAGTAGTCTAACTAAGAACAAAGAAACCAAAGAACCAGGTTTCTCCACTTAGAAACTAGAAAGCCATACTGTTCTCAATTCAGTAAAGAAATGTTTTCCCAATTGATACTGCTTCTGTTTCCTGCTAAAACTCACAATAATAAACACCAGATTCTGGGGCAAAGTGCAGTGTTAGCTAAATAATTCATACATTAATTTTCATTTTCCGAATCCGGTGACTATATGTTTCATATATTTTCTCAGCCTGTCAATTAAGTTCAGGTACTGAGTGCAGACTTCTCACACATATTTGCAGTATATTTATGCAGGCTATATTGCAACCTTCAAAAATTCAGCTTTGGAGATGGTTAACTGCTAGCAAAAGTTAAAGAATGAAAACATATTTCAGTATAAAGTGCTATGTACCATTGCCCATTTCTGGACAACAGGACATAGAACATCTGAAATGAAGGGAAGACCAAATTCATTTTGATCACAAGCAAATTTATGGATGGCAGGATGGACAAAGAAGTGAACTTGGGAATCAGAAAACCAATGGCCAAACCCCAAGTTGGACATTTATTAGCTTTGTGACCCATGAATAAGTTGCTTGATTTCTCTAAGACATAGTTTCTTCAAATATAAAATACCAAAAATGAGATAAATATGCAAAGTTCTCTGCAAATCTTAAAATTGTTATATAAAATTTTTGCTGCTGATGATATTATTTTGAACATAATAATCTTGAAACAAAAGAATGAACCATAAGGTGATTTGAAAATCCCCTTTCTCAAGACGAAAATTTTCAATATGTTATACTTCTTAATTAAATAAATCAGAATCATTTTTCCAGTTCAAAGTAACGGTTACTGGAGATATTAAAATAAAAAAAAAAAGTTAGTGCCTGCCCTCAAGGAATTTGTAATCAAATTAAGATGAAGGATAAAATATGTAAAGAAAAAACCTGCAAAACATATTAAGTAATGCAAGTGAGAATGTAGTATGTTTGTAGAAGAGAAGTCTAATAACAAAAAAAGGTATTCAAGGATGGAAAGATAATTTCTATATTTGGGTAGCCTTTATTAATTCAAATAATTGATCCTTTAAACTCAATTTGCACGATCAGGTATATCAAGGTCTTAAAATGCAAATGCATGGTTAATTTTCAAAATACCTTATAAAATTACTTGCATTTATATAGCATGTTTTATGGCTTTATGCCATGCTTTATTCCATTGGAGTCTTTCAAGGTTCTATAGACATTATTATCCCTATTTTATAGATGAAGAAGTTGAGACTTTATGAGGTCATGGTCACATAGCTACTAAATATTAAATGCAGGATTCAAACTAAGATCACCCTGAGTCTCAATTTTCTCATCTATAAAATGAAGATGATCTCTGAGGACTCCTCCAGCACTTAATCTATGATTCCATAATTCTATAACTTTTCCCACTATGCCATAGTACAATTTTATACACTATACACAATAAAATATGTATAACTATGTATGTGCATATTTAATTCTAAGATTTCCAAATTCTACCATGTGTATGTATGTATACATATAGATACATGTGTTTGTGTGTATATATTATGTCTATAACATTTTTATGTAATTAATAACTTAAACCTAGTATTTATATATTACTTTCAGGCTTTCAAATCACTGTACATGTGATTTCATTTGATCCTCCCCCAAACCCTGTAAGATAGGTGCTATTATTACCCTCATTTTACAGATGAGGAAACTGAGGCTGAAAAAGGTTAAGTGATTTGCCCATGGTCAAAAACCCAGTAAGCATCTGAAATGGGACCTGAACTCAGGTATTCCTGGCTCTAAGTCCAATAATAGTTCTTTCTATCATATCTGTGATTTCATAATTGTGCATATACATACATATATGTATGTGTCTGTATATATGCAGTCATGAATACATATAGATAGGAATCTACATTCATTTGTATATATGTATATTATCAGCATGCATAATTGTGGATAGAGAGATAAATTTGGAGTTAAGAACACGGATTCAAGTTATATCTGTGATACCTATTGCTGGCATATGACAATTTCGCAGTGCTTTTAACAACTCTCTAAGACTGTGGTTTGCAGAGAAGACATCCACATTGGTAGAGAATGTTGCTTTTGGAAATTATATCATAAAACTAGCTCATGAGAAAAACAAATTATATGTATATGTGTACATATATATGTATATATACATGTGTGTGTATGTGTATATACATATGTGCATATATGTATATACATGTGTATATGCATATCTCCATGCATGTATATGTGTTTCATGCTGCATATATACATACATATATGCACGTGTGTGTGTGTGTGTGTGTGTGTGTGTGTGTGTGCATAGAGGGGGTAAGAGGAGAGGAGAGACAGAGACAGAGGGAGTGAGGAAAGAGAGACAGACAATCAGACAGACAGAGAGAGAACAAAGGGAGGCAGGGGGATAGCTAGGTTGTATAATGGATAGAATGCTGGGGCTGAAGTCAGGAAGACTCTTTTTTCTGAGTTCAAATCTGGCCTCAGTCACTTAACTAGCTGTATGACCCTGTGCAAGTCACTTGACTCTGTTTGCCTCAGTTTCCTCATCTGTCAAATGAACTGGAGAAGGAAATGGCAAACTACTCCAGCACCTTTGCCTAGAAAACCCCAAATTGAGTCATGAAGAGTTGGACACAACTGAGCAACAATTACAAACATATGCATATTTATGCATGTATTTATGCATATATGTAGTAGATACATGTTTTTAAAACAGCAACTTAAAAAACCATGTTGTTCACATGGTTGGTTTAACAAACACAATCTTCTTCAAAATCTGTGTTATTTTCAAGACAAACCCAGGCATCAGGCTGTATTTGTAGCATCTGTTTGTTGTCTTTCTAAACTCTGCTCACTTCTGCTCTCTATGAAAATGAATGCAACAAATGTGTAAATTAGGTTACTTTCACCATCAATAATGTTTCCTCAATATCTGCTGCCTGGCATTGCCCTAGAGACCCCAGGAAGGGAGGATACACAGCACCATTCCAAGTACCAATTGTTTTAAGGGAAGACAGTGCAAATGCCACCAAAAATGAACTATAATATGCTTTTCATGTTAAGAGTTTGCCAAAAATAAACACAATTAAAGGGAAGTATACCAAAAAAGCAAGATCTATATATCAATAAGCATTTCAAAAATTAAATATCTGTTAGACACTGGGTCAAGTTCTGGAGATACAAACCCTAAAAGGAAATAGTCCCTGCCTTCAAGAAGCTTATAATCAGATCAGGGAGATGACATGTACATATATCAAATATAACAAAATGAATACAAGGTAATTTGGGAAGTGTACTAGCAGTTTGGGAAATTGGGAAAGGTTTCATGTAAAAGATGGCTCTTGTGATGAATCTTAACAAAAAAAAAAAGGGGATCCAGGAGAATCTTAGGTAAGAAAAAATGTGCATTCCAGGCCCAGCCAGGGGAAAGGTAAGGAGACAAGAAGTGGAAAAAGAGATGTGTAGAAAAGCAGTATTGTTGGATTATAGAGTCCGTGGAAGGATGGGTTGTATAAGACAACCTCAAAGGTAAGGTGCTGGAGTATGAAGAACTTTACGTGCCAAAAAGGTTTACATTTTATCCTAGAGATGATAAAGAGCTACTGAAGTTTATTAAGAGTATGTGTTGGTGGAGTGGGATAGGACAGAAGGCAGGGAGAGGGAAGAGGTGATACAGCCAGACCTGTGTTTTAGGAAAATCACTGCTGGCTACTTTATGGAGAACAAATTGGGTTGGGGAGACGCCTGAGGGAAGAACAAACAGAGGCTATTTTAATAATCCAGGTCATGAGGTTTTGAAGCATGGTGGTATTGTGAATATATCCAAAATACTAATCCAATATATAGGTTTTAATAGCAACCAGAATGCTAATGATGAGGGAGGAGATGGGAAATTCTGGAATCTGTGTAATGTTAAACCTGCAGGATAGAAGCACATATGAACAAAATGCTAACATTTGCCAAGTCATTTATCTTTTACTTTATGTACACAGAAAGACAGTATGTTTAATTAGATATATTATTAGCCCCAGCAAAAGGAGTAAAATCTCACAATTTTGTTTCTTAATTGAATGCACATTTCAAAATATAAATCTGTTTTTTTAAGTAACTTACTTAATAGCAAAAAAAAATTCTCAAACAGCTATTTGTTTATGCTGGCATTCTTACACTCTCACTCACTCCAGACAATCTGTCAGGATCTCCTCCCTGAGATTACCATTAGCTGCCACTTATACTGTAATTTTCCATTCCTGTATCTTCAGAGTGGTTATCACTGGATCTCTCAGTCATATAGAAGACAAGGCATTATGCCTCACTGAAAATGGAAACTTTAGTCTTTTCAGAGTGTATCACTGCAATAACATGCAGAGAAGGCAGTAGGGCCGTTTCCCACCGCTCTTTTCAAAGGAATTGAAGGACAAATAGCATTCAAATAAATCTCTGACACAATTCTGTGACCAATTATATATTACTCTGTGGGGGTTTTTTCCTGTACATACTTGCATTCAAGTACAAGATTTCATCTCACTCTTTGTTGGAGTCCATCCTAAAAACCAAAATACCTTAATGCAAAAGAAGAAAAAAAAAGCTCATGAGTCACTTTTGAATCCCGCACAGAGGTAAGAGAAGAGAGATAATGGATGTGAGAGGTGGAAGGAGCATGAATGATTTTTAACTATGTCAGCTCTCTCATTTCACAGT